GGAGTTTCTCCCCGAGGACGAACCTCGGGATTTTGCAGGACCACTTGAAGAGGAACCAGCGTGAAGCAAGAGCCCAAGGATATTCAGCAACTACAGGTAGTTTTAAGAGATGGATGTGGCCAACAATGGGGAGATATGGTGGACTTGGGGGAAGGTTCTTGTATCATTTTTGGGACAGAAACAAGAGCTTAAAGGCGAGGATCACGATGAGTGCCGAAAGAGATGAATATAGGACGAATTGATCTTCCATGGCTTTCAATTAGTTGTATTCTTGTTTGAGATCACCATGTCTATATATTCACATACATATTCACACACAGGTCAAAGGTTGAATGGTCGATTAGGGATGTCAATGGGGTCCCGTGGGGTCGGGGAGTTCCTCTTCGTCTCCGTTCCCATCATTCGTGAGACGGGGATTCCCACAGAGATTTTTGACGGGGGATAGATTTTGCCCCCTCTCCTCGTTCTGTGCGGGAAATAGGGATCCCCGCGAGATCCTTATTCCCCACTAATTAATATTAAATTGTAATTTTTTTTGTCTTTTATATATAATTAATTAATATTCAATTATAATAAATAAAATTTTAAAAATTCAAATACAATTAACTAAAATTTTTAAATATAAAATCAAATATAAATTGTCTAAATATAAATAAAGATTAATTCAACATAAATAATTAAAAGGTTAATGATAGGTTGAGTTGAGTAAATTTAGATTAAATTTAATTTTTATTGAATTGGATTTGGATTTGAAGATTAAATTAAATTTAGAATAAAAATAATTTACATATTTTTTTAATTTATCACAAAGATGGGAATCCATGCGAAGTCTCGTGGGGTGAGGAAAATTTCCTGTAAAATTTCATGGGGAACGTGCCCCCCATCCTTACGTCCATGATGGGGATTCCCATGAACCTTACGGAAATCAAGGCAAATTACCATCCCTACTCTTAAATATAATTAGCACTTTTTGCAGCTAAAATTCAAAATTTTAACTAATAAATTTCGTAGTTTTTTTTTTTCCTATGTATGGTTCAAGATTACCATTTCACTCTTTGTTCTTTGTTTTTCCATCTTATCTCCTCATGCATTGTTGGGGATGTTAGGAAATATTTGTGTCTTAAAAGAAAAAAATTATTATAAAAAACAAACAATAAAATAAAATACATAAAAATGAAAACTGATTTTGAAGAGATTTTTTAACACATACCCTTAATGTACAATAAATGTATTTTTGTAATTAATTCACATTAAAAATTATAAAAATTAGCATCTGACCCTTGAGACCTACTGGCAAAAGCCAGCCGGTGCATTCCCCTCGGGCAACCCGCCCCTTGCAAAATATGTTCTAAAAAAAAAATTATAAAAATTGATATATGTTTTAACATTACCGACATATGAATAATTTTAATTGGTTAATTGATTAAATCAAAATTAACATATATATTTTTAATAAAAATTAATTATGAAAATGTGCATTTATCGCATAAGTTTAAAAAAAATTTTAATCTTACTCCCCAAATAAAATAAAACTCTCTAGTAATAAAAATAATCATACCAAATCTAATTTATTTAATTTACATCATAAATAATTTTAGGGTCAATTTTTTTTTTGAACAAATTCGCAAGGGATCAGAATTGAACCGTTGCTCTGGGAAAAGAAAAATGCATTTATATGTGACCTAACGCCACTGAACCGAAAGCCCAAGTTTATTTTAGGATCAAATTTAATTGACGTTTTTAAATAAATATCAATTACAACCAAAATAACATTTAATAAGAACATGAAATCATTTACCCAAAAAATATATAAATTTACAATAATTAAACTAGATGTTATTACACAAAAGACAAACAACTTTTTAACAAAAATATCAAAAGTATAAAAAGTCTACAAAATTGTATTAAACCAATTGCCCTAGTCAACTAAAAACAACAATAACTCCAAAATATTTAATAAATTTTTTCTATTTTAAAAAAAACAAAAGAAGATATGAGAAACATAACTTTCCTTCGGGTCAAGTGACCTTTGCCACCTTAAAATGCACCTCCTCCCCTTTAACTACCTTGAGGTGCAACCTCTCTCCTTGAACAAGTTCAAGCCCGCCCCATGATATTATTGTTCAAAAAAAAAAAAAGAGGAACATATGAGAAACAAAGAAAAGATGGTTTATTCTATATCCTTATTCAAACGAAGAAAAAAATGGTTCATTCTACACTCTTTAGATTTAGGCTCCACTGGCTGTTGCCGCTCTATCTCGAATCTTTAATCTGAACAAAAATTATTCAAACAAAAAAAGGGTGATAACAGAGTACATATGGTATTTTCTCCATCTTCTTTTCCCTCCTCCCTGCTCTTGCCATATGCGGTATTTCATAATGATTTTGATTTCTGTTACAAGGATCGGGCCAGCAGGCATAGACAAACGAAGCAAGGCAAGGGACCGTACTCCCTATTGATATTACCGATCTTTTTCTCAGATTTATTCGACATTTTCATTCGTAACTAACTGTTTCTCTGTTTTCACAAAACTCGTCAGCAATTGAGACTGAAGTACTCAAATGGGGCCTCCGCTCCATTACGAGAGAAAGGCATATGAATTTTAAATCCAGTATCCCTTGATAAAGTTTCACTGTGCAGATCAGTAGATGTAAACAAAAAGCTACTTGATGGTCCAATCAGAAGAACAGGCTATTCCAGATCTCCACCAGAAGATTGCACCTGGAGGGTGCTTGACGGTGATTCATTTGCATCATTTGCTGCTTCTTGACCTTTCCTGCTTCTCTTATCGCCAACAACCACTTCCAGATCATAATCCCCATTATCAGCATGCTTCCTCTTAGAAGTACGTTTCGTTACAGGAGCTGCATTACATTCAACAACACCAGGCTGCAGATTGTTAACTTCCTTTGTAGTCCTTTTGGGTTCACAATCAGCTGCAGGATTCACCATAGCATCACTCGTATCAGCTACTTCAGAATTTTCATTCCCAATTTCTGCATCACTATCAGCAAGGTCCTCCATGTCATCTGTCTCTTCGTCAGATGATCCTTCAGCAGGTTCCTGTTTCTCACTCTCACTTTTTAGAGACTCAATCACATCCATCAATTCTCTGTTCACCTGTTGCAGTATATTTCTGTGTTAGTAAGCAGGGACCACTATTGGAAAGGGAGAAGAATAAGCTTGCAAACCACTTAGACGTATTTGCAGATGGGAGAAATGGAAAAGAAACGAAGCCAGTTCTATAAGTTTCAAACATGCATTTAAATTTTCAACCCTTAAATATTTCAGGTTTAACTTTATCTTCTTCTATCGAAATTCAAAAGCAAAGAGTAAGTGCACAATAAAACATGAACACAATCTGCTCCTCAAATAGAAAATCTGCATACCTGAAGATTTTGCAGAAAATCAGATATATCAGTTGGGCATGAAGGGCAGTTCAATACATTCTTCTTTGATCGAAGTGTCCGCCCACCTCTGTTCCTCTCTATAACAAGAGTCTTACCAGCAAATTTTTCTTCCAG